AAGTTGGACTGTCACTCTGTCACACAGACTGGAGTGCAGTGGCTGCTCCTGGTCACCGCAGACTCGACTTGCTGGGCTCCAGCGATCCTTTCACTTCAGCCTTCCAAGTAGCTGGAACTACAGGCATGCGCTACCACACCCAGTTAATTTTTTTATTTTATTGTAGAGATGAAGTCTCGCCAAGTTGCCCAGGTGGGTCTTGAACCCGCAGGCTCAGGCAGTCCACTCACCTCAGCCTCCCAAAGCACGGGATTACAGGCTGAGCCACAGAGCCCTGCTGTAAGTGTCAGCTTCTAAGGCACTCTGCTCCAATTAGCCATTGCCTGGCTCCTTTTTCCCTCCCTTCTGCTAGGGCATCTAAGAATGGGGAAGCTTGAGTTGTGCTAAGCGGGTCCCAGGGCCCCAGAAAGCAGGGCCTGACTCCTGTTCTGCTTGCCCGCAGTGACCGGCTGGCCCTCCTTCAGGTCAGGAGGATCCTGCAGCAGCTGGGCCTGGACAGCACGTGTGAAGACAGCATCGTAGTAAAGGAAGTGTGCGGAGCTGTGTCCCAGCGGGCGGCCCAGCTCTGTGGTGCTGGCCTGGCTGCCATTATGGAAAAAAGGAGGGAAGACCAGGGGCTCGAGCACCTAAAGATCACTGTAGGTGTGGACGGTACCCTGTACAAGCTGCACCCTCAGTGAGTACCCTCGCGAGGCATGGTGGGAGGCAGGGGAGGTGCTAGGGGCTGAGTGTGGACTGGGCATGTCCTGGTCACCTGCAGAATGTGCAGTTGTGTGTCCTTGTCCTTTTATGAGAAAGGTGTGCTGTGGGGTGAAGTCACCTGTTAAATCTACACTTGGCTGGGTTCGGTGGCTCAGCCTGTAATCCCATGCCTTTGAGAGGCTGAGGTGAGTGGATTGCCTGAGCCCGTGGGTTCGAGACCCATCTGAGCAACTTGGCGAGATCTCATGTCTACAATAAATCAAAAATTAGTCGGGCATGGTAGCGCGCACCTGTAGTTCCAGCTGCTTGGAAGGCTGAGGCGGAAGGATCGCCGGAGCCCAGCAGGTCGAGGCTGCGGTGGCCGGGAGTGGCCACTGCACTCCAGTCTGGGTGACAGAGTGAGACTCTGACTCAAAAAAAAAAAAATCTACACTTGGTCTTAGCCACAAGGCCGAGACGTGATCACCTGTTAAATCTGACGGACAAGGTGTGAGCCCTGGTGCCTCTGCTTCCTGGTAGTACACACGATATGGGAATGTTAACCGACCTCTCAAAACCCCAAGCTCCTCATCTGGAAAAGGCCAGCGGTAATAATCCCCACCTTGCTAGACTAAATGCATGGGATTAAGTGAGTTAATACATGCAAAGTGCTTCCAACAGTGCTCAAGAAATATAAATTATGATTATGATGATCATATTCTCACCCAACCTCAAAGGGTAGAAATGAGAACTGGTTATTTTGCACAGTGTAGGGCATTTGCAAGGATAAACTGGTTATAATTTTCTTAGCTCAGAGTGAGTGGACAGGATTAAGAGCCTGACACAGGCAAGGAGGCTCTGCTGCCTAGAAGCCAGGAGGCCTAGGACCTATGTCTTACCCTCTTCAGCCTCAGTTCTTTTTCTCTGAAATGAAGACAAAAATTGTTCCCACCTCAGAGGTTGTTGTGAGGATTAAGTTAAATGGTGTCTGTAGAGTGTGGGGCACATCACAAAAGCATCAGTAATGAAATCCTTTTTTTTTTTTTTTGAGTTGGAGTCTCACTCTGTTGCCCAAGCTGGAGTACAGTGACACACTCACAGCCACCACAGCCTCGACCTGCTGGCCTCAGCCTTTCGAATAGTTGGAACTACAGGCATGTGCCACCACACCTGGCAAATTTTTTGATTTATTGTAGAGATGAGGTCTTGCTAAGTTGCCCAGGCTGGTCTCGAACCCCTGGTCTCAGGGCAGTCTTCTCACCTCGGCCTCCCAAAGTGCTGGGATTATGGGCAGGAGCCACCGTGCCCAGCTTGAAACCTATTATTGTTATTCCATGTTTTACATTTTGTTTTGGTGAAAACCCAAAGTAATAACAAGCTTATAACAATTTCTCATTATGCTGAAATATATTCATGAGCATATTATTATTATAATCCTGAATCCTTAGCCCTTCCTGTGATGCAGACTAATTATCCAAAATAACGGAGTTGTATCTTCTCCTGGTCTAGTTCCTACAACACTCACCCTTGAAGCAAGCCTTGAGCAAGGGATTACAAAAAAAACAAAAAAAACACATGACCATTTCATCATTTCATGAAAATCCTAAGGGATACATGCACACAGACACAAATACACACAAAAACTATTAGAACTAGCAAACAAGTTCAGCAAATAAAGCCTTATGGTCTAATGATTTTTGACAAGGGTGTCATGACCATTCAGTAGGGAAAGTATATCTTTTCTTTTCTTCTCTTTTTGTTTTTGAGTTGGAGTCTCACTCCATTGCCTGGCCACTGCAGCCTCGACCTGCTGGGCTCTGGCGATCCTTCTGCCTCAACCTCCCAAGTAACTGGAACTACAGGTGTGCTCTACCACGACGCTCGGCTAATTTTTTTTTTGATTTATTGTAGAGATGAGGGCTCACCAAGTCGCCAGGGGTAGGGATGGGGGTGTGGGGGGTGTGGGGGGGTTTGGGGTGTCTCTCAAACCCGCGGGCTCAGGCAATCCACTCACCTTGGCCTCCCAAAGCACTGGGATTACAGGATGAGCCCCTGAGCCTGGCCCAATGTCTTGTCAACCAATGGTACAACAGTTGGTTACCCACATACAAAGAGACAAGATTGGATCCCTACTTCAAACTATATACAAAAATTAACTCAAAAGGGATCAAAGACAATGTAAGAGTTGAAACTATAAAAATCTTAGAGAAAAACATAGGTGGGATGGGTGTGGTAGCTCACACCTATAATCCCAGCATTTGGGAGGCTGAGGTGGGAGGATTGCTTGAGGACAGGCATTTGAGACCGAGGTGGGTAACATAGTGAGACCCTGATGTTATATTTTAAAAAGAAGAAGAAAAAAAGAAAACATAGATGTAAATTCTTGTGACCTGGATTAGGCAATGATTTCTCAAATCTGACATTAAAAGAACAAAATATACAGATTATAGGCACAAACAAAGAATTTGATAAAATCCCACACTTTTTCATGATAAAAGCACTCAACAAACTAGAAATAAGGGCATTTTCTTTTTCTTTTTCTTTTTTTTGAGTTGGAGTCTCACTCTGTCGCCCAGACTGGAGGGCAGTGTTCGCTCCCAGCCACCGCAGCCTTGACCTGCCGGGCTCCGGTGATCCTTCCGCCTCAGCCTTCCAGTAGCTGGAACTACAGTGTGTGCTACCACGCCTGGCTCATTTTGATTTATTGTAGAGATGAAGTCTCACCAAATTGCCTGGGCAGGTCTCGAACCCGCGGGCTCAGGCAATCCACTCACCTCAGCCTCCCAAAGGCGCGGGATTACAGGCTGAGCCACTGAGCCTGGCTTGAGGGCATTTTCTTAACCTCACAAAGAGCATCTAAGAAAACCCACAGCTAACACCTTCTAAAGAGTTAAAGGATAGGTGCTTTTCTCTTAAAAGCAGAAACAAGACAAGGATTTGCATTCTCACCGCTGAGGCTCAGCACTGTTCTGCCTGAGTATTGCCTCCAGATAATCAGATGGTTTTTATCTCTTAGTCAAGATTTGATTCAAGGGAAAGGCTTGTAACAACCAGACCAAAAATATGAGAACCCAAGAGGAAAATCAAAAACAAATTTAGCCAGGGCTGTTAGGCAAGAAAAAGAAATATAAGGCATCATAGCAAAAAGGTGAAAGTAAAACTATCTATATTTGCAGATGACATAATTTTGTATATGGAAAATCCTAAGGAATACACACATGCAGACACAAAAACTATTAGAATTAGTAAACAAGCTGGGCTCCGTGGCTCAGCCTGTAATCCCACGCTTTGGGAGGCTGAGGTGAGTGGATTGCCTGAGCCCACGGGTTCGAGACCCTCCTGGG